AACTGAGCTCTACGTGGTATTCCCTGCATAGAAACAACATTTTAGCATGTCCTCTTACAAACACTGAAAATACTAAGTGTACAACTGACTGAATGTTACATAAATAATACAAAGGTACAATTAAAACAAAAGTAAAAGAGTTTTACTCACGTTTTAGTTGTGGTGAGTAGATGCTATCTTGAATTCTGAACTCTCACACTTTCCAACAGGGAATTCCCACTGCAGGGGTGTTCCAGTTTCAATTTACGAGTTGTAAACGGGAAATTCCCTCTTCCCATTACAACTGCGCAACAGCAAAAGCAGCCAGCTGATGATTACTTTGGGATGCTGTCAGTTCCTGGGCAAAATAATCAACATGTATTACGAGAGATGTATATGGYTAATTTAAAGCAGCATACATTTATTTTAAGACATATTTGAAGCGCTTGCGGGCCACATAAAATGCTGTGGTGCGTTACATTTGGCCTGCGGGCCTTGAGTTTGACACATGTCTTAAACGGAGTGTMGTAGAGGGAAAGTCTTCTTTGTTTCTGGCCTTTTTAACTTTAACTGTTTCAGCCCCTGCCGTGCCTCTAATAATCAAATCTTCTCTAACTCTGTGACTCAAAAGAACCTCAGCATCTTCAGATCTGCCACTGCCAGTTCTGTCTCCTGTCTTTTTGTCAATGCCACTGTTTCTGAACCCTGCAGCAGAGGAAAAATGTGAAACGAACCAAAAAATGAGAGAAACCTCATGAACAACAGTGTTAGTGTGCCCCCTAGTGGTGAGTCAAAGGCATGAACAGATGTTCCACATGTTTCCCTCTACAAACATTGTATGATTGATCTGTTTTTTGTTTTTTTTACTGACAGGAAGATGATGAATTAAATATATAATAAATGTTTTCTCAGTAGATTTATAACAATCGTTTGTATTTTTAAATTATTTGGCAAGCCCATATTGGTCAGTGGTTCACATAACATTTTGTGTAGAACTTTTGTGTTCCTCATTAACACAAACACTCACACAGATCTCTTAGTTATATATTTTACATTATATACAGCAGTTTATATGATCTCACTTGTTGATTAAGCATGTCAGGGTGGACGCAGAACACTGAAGCAGGCTGACTGGAAGGTGACCAATATAAAAACTGGCCTGCTTTATATTTTTACAAATCAGTACAACTGAACACATTTTTACTTTTCCCAAATAAAATACAACTCAGTAAATAACTATATATCAATGACAGAAAACAGCACTCTCCTACACATGGTAAGTTGTGACATGATGCATGCAGGAGGACATGTATAGGCTGGGTAAGAACATACAGCGGGTAAAATAAGTATTGAACACGTCACCATTTTTCTCAGTAAATATATTACTAGAGGTGCTAATG